TTTTGCTCTGGAAACAGCTGGAGCTCAGTGTACTACTATATTAGTATGTATTTTTATAAACAAATCATCTTAGTCAAATAGATAGTTACTGAGTAAAAATGTTTTAGGGCCATTTTCGTTATCATATACTATTATTTTGCCACCGATTATGTAGTTCTTTGTAAAATAAATCGAAAGACAGTATATATAGAATCGTACAGTTACAATGTCTTAATACAGATGCACCAAGAAGTATTTTGCCAGACTTTTCAGAAAACCAGGTAATGAAACCTGCCCGTTTACTGTCGAATTATCTTTCTTCTGGTTTGCATTCATATCAAATAAAAGTTGAGCAAACAACATGAATGTCTGAATATGCTACCTCAAACGCAGTAATGTAGTTACGCCAGCTGATAAATGTCATGTTTTGACAGATGTGAAGTTGTATGCCAAAGGTTAATAAGATTTTTCCAAGAATGTTATTCGTAGTTTGTGTAAGTTGGTACGAATAGAAAATGATAAGAAGCCCTCTTTTCTATTATATTGCACGCATGTAAATGTGTTATCTTAATGAGTAAATTCACTTTAATTTAATGAATTTCAAGAAAGATTTACGTGAAAATCCCTGATGAAGTTAAGGAATATTGTTTTATGTACCCATTTGTCATTTCATTTATGCGTCTCGTTGGAGACATGCGATGTAATGTATGGAATAAATGTGATAAAAAGTTTACATATAAACGTTAAACATTTTTTAGTTTAGTATTATATTATAAATAAAGGAACTGTTAAATTTAAAATGTTCTTAATATTTCAAACAGCCGTGGTTAAAGGAACTATTATAATGAACGTTTGTATCCATATCTTATGTCAAAAAATCGTATACATGTACAATTATTTCAATAAGATAGTGATGTGATTTATAGTGTCATGCCAATATGTTTGAAAATTACGCCATAGTTTTCAAAACTGATAATTTCGTTTCAGGTTCAATTCATATATCATAAATATGTACAACCCAGATATTTGAATACTTTCATATGTTCACCGACAACATCTTTACATTTTGCCTTATGAACTATATAGGTTATACAATTGAAAATAGACAGAGCACAAATATTCTAAAAATAGTTCTCCTTTGTTTGTTTGATAAGTTCTTGCCTTGCGACGGATTTTCATTTTTATATGGGTGAGGATAAACATGAGATAATACAACACACTGCTATCTTAACAAATATATTTTGTCAGAAGTTGTATAACCCTCAACTGATGAAGATAATTCTTATCTACATCATTTTTCTTATCAATTTACGCTTCCTTATTAATTGATATACAAATCAGCAATCGCAAAAAGCTGCATCTTCTCCCAGTAAAAAAAAACAAGAACGAAATAAATCTCATGTGAACAATTGCATTGAACAGTTATGTATGTGATGTACATAGAAAAATAATATAATAAAATGAACTGAACTCTTTCTTTATCATCAAGCTGCTGTTAAAGCTTTTATGAAACATTCTATATTATATAACTATATTAAAATATGTTCGTAAATCGTATTTTGAAAAAGAAGGGAGAGTTTCATGATCAAAGTTAGTGACCTATAATTGAAAATAAATTGATGTTATTGACGTGATTATTCAAAATAACAAAAACATCCCATCATAAACTATGACATTTAGAAATAAGAAAAAAAAATATTTTGAAGAAGATTTTTTTCATTTCATACTAAACATATCTATTCAGATACATGATTAAATTACAAATGCCATAGAAAGATAGAAAGTATATTATAGTACTGACTTTGTTATTTCACAGATAGAATCGTCGCCTCCCTGGTGTCTAATGGCTGCATACGCTGTATATCATTTAATCTGCTGTCGTTATGTTCTGCTCTTGAAACGCATGTTCTATATGTGTTCGTATATTATACTTATTATACTTATATTATAATAACATTAAAATCATATGTTTCAATTAAGCCGTGATGAGCGGTCATAAATGTTTCCATTCCTGATTTGTTTAATTAAATTTAAATAATATGGAAATGACATTACATAAAAAGAAACATAAACGTTTGAATATACGTAGACCTCATTTTAGGCCATTGATGGCAACACTAATTAACCTTACTTTCATTAAGATATCAGCTAGTAAATAATTTCTTATTAAATGTATATAAATGTTGTTATTTAAATAAATGATAAGGTCAATTTAAAGACTCTAAGTTAAAAATGAATATGAAGGGGTTGTTCTCTTTAGCAAACTATTCGAATTATTGAATATTTTAAGTTCTCCTTATACAACATATGTGAAAGATATCTGCTGAATTCGACATATAGATAAATGACAAAAAGTAAAACAATCTTAGATAATACATTTATTTTATTAGGCTTAGAATTATGTGTATAAATAAGTGAAGAAATAATTTAGATAGCTTAATTAATATCAATCCCTTATCAGAGTATTTGCTTCTAAACAAGCGTTCAGATCATCAGATGTAGTATTTTTTAGGTTGGAAGTATGATTCTTTTCTATGTAATGTATCCATACTTTTACAACATGAAATAATAAGTATGAATCTAATTATTTGACATTCCAAGTTTGTCAAAACAATTTTTTAGGTTAACGTGTGCTTTTTGAAGAAAATGTTCTTTGGAATTATGATGGTATTCTTTTCATTCATGAAATGAATGATCTTTATCATATAAATAATTTACGCAGATATTTGAACGTTTCTAAATAATGTAATAGTAATTACTTTATTCTGTCAACAAATGAACAAAATAAGTAACAAGTAATTGGAAACGTTGCCAGATTAAGAATTTTATTATCGACGAAATTCCATTTCTCCTCCGATGTTTTTTTGTAAATGACATGCAGGTTTACTCGTACATAATATTCTTTTTCTTTACCGCGTCCTTATTAAATAATATACAAGTCCATAATTGCATGCCAATCTTTCCAAAATGATTAAAACCAGAGCAATAGAAATATCTCATGTGACCACTGGCATCAATCGCACAGCGATGAGTATGACGTTCAGATGAAAATCTATAAATATACAATGAACTAAACTATAAACTGAACATCAAGCTGCAATACAAGTATAACTTCTATAATATAATTATAAAAACATCCTTCTTCATTAACATTTTGTGAAAAATTTTCACGAACAGAAATTAGAAGAGAAAATTGCTGTATTGTTATTTAATGAAATATGTCATCGGACTATTGAAGTGATTATTCAAAATAATTTCCTTCCCGTTAGTAACAGAGAGAAACATGTTTTATGATGTAGAGTGTTTTATTTGTGTTGGACCATCTTAACGCAGAAAATTGTAAAAATAATATAATTGATTAAATTAAAAATGCTTTTGAAAGCCAATTATTGTTCCAACTGTGTTATTTCCGAGTATGTCTGTGACCGCATTTACTTTACAAATATCACTTAATCTGATGTTTTACTGAAAATGAAATGTGATATATAGAATATTTTTACTTTGGTAGAATTATATCATAATGGTATTATAATCAAACATAGCCTGCAACATTTAAGTTTCGTCGTATTGGACGATCTATAATTTTATTTGTATATTGTACATAAGAACCATTATACTTAAAATGAATTTAATGGAGTACATCTAAACAAACGTTCAAAACTTACAGTTCAAACATTGATAGTAAGTTAATTGATAAGTACTATCAACTTATATTACATTAACTATGTGAGTCATCAACAACGCATTCTAGTATTACGTAAGTCATTAACAACACTATCTAGCATTCATTTACTAACTTAGTCACCAACGCCACTCTATAGTATAACATTACCTATGTAGATGGTCAGAAAAACTATCTAACATTATATGAACTGAGTTAGTCATCACAACCTCATCTAACATTACATTAACTATGACATTACATTAACTATGTAAGTGATCGTAAACACGTTCTAACATTACATGAATTGAGTTAGTCATTAACAACACTATCTAACATTGTATGAATAGAGTTGAACATTGATACTATTTTACAAAGTATACATGACTAGAAAAAATAGATATGTAATTTCGGATATCTCAAACTTGACAACAACATCTATACAGAATTGTTCCCTTGTTTTGGAATCACGTATGGTACTTTGTAGTTAGAACTATTAACATAACTACTTATAGTGTTACAGTTTCTATGACAGACCACTGCACTTTAAACAATGGATTATCTGATGATAGTATAGCTTGATATAAATGTTTAAGGGTAATTTTTTATATTTAGTTTTTTAAATAAATTACTAGTTTCTAAATTATGAATGCATTCTTTATTAAATGTCGTAGGTAATGGGGTAAGATAATAAGAAAACTGATTTAAGATTTGTTAAATACAATTATTATGTATCACAATAAACCTTAAGATTCAGCGTACAGTATTAACATAAACATGTGAAGTTTTAAAGGCAAAGGCAAAATATACGTACAAATACGTCCGTAAACAACTTTCTCTACTAATTTATAATATTATTTAACAGGGTTCGAATTTAAGCTCGCATACTCGCAAAATGCCAGTTAAAATCCAATACAGCGAGCAGAATAACTTGAGCTCGCATTTTTTTTGCGAGTACTTGTTCATTTTGGAAGTTTACACAATTGGTTTATTTTGCGCATGCTTGGCAAGTGTCCGCTGCAGAACTGATGACGTTTACCGTACAAGCCGCAATAACTGGTGACGTTTACCGTAAAAATTATTTTTAGTCGCTCTTTTTGGTTTTTTCTGTGGCTACATTTAGACGGACTATTTATAACAGACAAATACTATTGGTTAGCGGGTCCAAGTAGTTTTATCAAGGTCAAATGTCCGTGCGGTGCACCCGTCCGTGAATACTTAAAAAATAATGGATAAATTGGTTGTTAAAAGATCGCAGTCGGACACACATGCAACCGATGCTTCTAGTGAAAATAAAAAAAACAAAATTATCTCCTAACTCTTCTGTGGGCCATACTGCAAGCCTAAAAACGGTAAAAGAATGGATGAAAGAACTGAATATCTGACATACGAGTGTGAAGGTGACTCGGTACATAAAATCGTCTGTACAACCTGCAAGCTGTATGCACCAGCAAACATGATCTCCAACGTAAGTCTGTCATATTAAGGTCACATTGTAGAACCAGTTTAACCAAATATTTAAAAAAAATCGGAATCAATATACTTTTGATAACTAGGCCTCTTCAGTATTCATGTACATGTATGTATATATACATGCTGGCAGCATATTACAGGCTTGGTTGGCATATTTTGAGGGCTGATATTTAAATTTGTAGATGCTATCACACTAACAGTAGTGAATAGTCAAACATACATATATATAAAATTATATGGATGCAGAATTACTCTACAAACAGACTCCATGATCTATTTTGTGCTTACTTTTATAGCTGAGACATTAATTATATAAATATACTCAATACCCGTTAAGTTTTCAGTCTGTTGATGTAATCAGCTGATCAATCACAATATATGCTAAAATAATGAGGGTCAAAAGCAGTACATTGTCACTTGTAAATTCTAGTCTATAAAGGCAGGTGGTGTTCCTCTAGTATAAGCCTATTCCTGATCCGAAAACAATTGTTTTTAGCTTATAAATCAATTATTAATAAACTCATTAGCATACTACTTACCTACGTAAAATAATAAAATCATTTTACTGATGTAGGTAAGTATTATGAGTAAGTGAGGTCCATTTCATAATTGCAGTTTATAACTGGGAACACAACTGTGAAGAGGGAGTCTGTGAAATTCCATGTGAACTCTACAATGCACGTGCGAGCTGTGCAGACTAAAGCAGCTCAAGAAAGAAAAAAAAGGAATGAACAAACAGATCTTGAGAAAGGTTTTCAAAAAATGGACATGACTACATCTGAAAAGATGACAAAACCTTTCAAAACTGCTTACTATATTGCAATCTTTGAAAAACCATTCACTGACTTCCCAAATTTAATAGATCTGCAGCATTGTAATGGCTTGTCACTTGGTGATACCTACCATACTGACAAGGCTGCAAAAGATCTTATAGAGCACATTGGTGGTGTGTATTTTGATGAGACCAAACATCTTTTACATGATGCTGATTATTTTAGCATATTTTGTGATGGATCAACTGATAGATCCGAAACAGAAAAAGAAGTAATTTTAATAAAATGTTTGGACAATTACTATCCAAAAATGAGGTATCTGAAGCTTGTTGAGCCTGAAAATACAAAATCCCAAGGTATATTAGAAGCCATTGACAGGGCATTTTTAGAGTATGATTTAAATAATAACAAACAAAAAACTGTAGGCTTTTGCTCTGATGGAGCATCTGTAATGATGGGTTTCAAAAGGGGTGTCATTCAGTTAATGAAAACACAGGGTAATGCCGACTGGATAAAAGCCGTATGGTGTTTGGCCCACAGGTTAGAGTTGGCAATAAAGGATGCCTTTAAAGATACAAACATGGACAATGTCATTGAAATGCTTGTGTCCATGTATTATTTTTATAAGGGTTCTGGTAAAAGGCTGAAGGAGGCTTCAGATATTGCAGAGTTACTTGGGGAACATTTCATGAAGCCTGAGAAAACTAATGGCACAAGATGGGTTGACCATAAACTTAGGGCTACAAGTAAATTACTTAAAAATTGGCCTATTATAGTCACTCAGCTTCAAAATTATGCCGAGGACAGCTCAAATAGAGAACAGGACAGAGCTAAGGTTAGGGGGTATCTGAGGCAGCTTAAACAACACAAAATGGTTTGGTACCTGGCATTTGTAAAATATATTTTGAATGAAGTGTCAAAAATTAGTTTACTTTTTCAGAGGGAAGATCTTACTGTTTATAGTGCCATGACAAAACTCCAAAGTGCTGAAACCTCCTTAAGGGCTCTTATGGACAATGATGGCCCAACAGTTTTAGAAATCAATGACAAAATTATAGATGGCCTTTTACATGGTTTTAAACTTCAAAACATCATTCCAAATGATGCATTGGTCAGAGATAGACGCAGGATAACTCAGTCTGTTCTTGATTGCCTGCATACAAGGCTTAAAAATGTGTCAAGTGATGAAGTTTTTTTAGCATGCAATGCATTTGATCATAAAAACTGGCCTCTTTCAACAGACAGGGAGGCTCTTTTGCAGTATGGAATTGGAGATGTCAGACAGATATTCAATCATTTTGAATTTGTTCTGACAAATTCCGACTGTTACCTTGTCAATGCACTGAGCCAGTGGTCCGACTTAAAATTTTATGTAACTGGAAATGCAAGGTACAGTACTTTGAACCCACTGCTTGTATGACAGTTGATTAGCCAAATGGATAAGGATAAAGGAGATTACAAGGATATTCTTAAGGTCATTCACTTGTCAAATGTTCTACCTCTGGCCAATGCATCATGTGAAAGGGCCTTTTCAACTATGAAAAGGATAAAATCAGATTGGAGGTGCAGGCTTGGGGCAGAAATCATGGACACACTGATGAGAATCAAAGTTGGAGATATTTCTCTAAAAGACTATGACCCTAGACCTGCAGTGAGAAGATGGTGGTTGTCTGGGGAGAGGCAAAAAAGACCTAACACCCTGCCATATGGACCCAGAAATTGAACCTTCCTTTGTCTTTTGCATTCACAGAGAGTTAGGTCTTTTTACCTCTCATATAAAGCCAGTATCATCTCACAACATAACAATACCTGGAGAATTTTCAGTATCAATTTGTTTCTTTTAAATGCAAATATTTTATTCACATAAATATCCACTCAATAATTTTAAGCTACATTTTCATGACAAAAACATGTCTGTACTACAAATGATTAAAAATAGCTGTTATTTGTTTAGAACTTTGTCACTGTTGCAATTAAGAACTGACATATTGTGTGCAACAAAACCTTAGCTTGGTGGCTCTGAACTGTTTAGAAAGTAATATTCATGGAAGATGCCAGCTTTATATGTGCATACATATTCACAGACATAATGTAATGATATGCCTTAATTGTTTGAATTGTTCATGTTTCGTTACAGAGTGTTTAAGTTCTGCACTTTAATATAATTTGTCATACTATATTTTAATTATGTTCAAAGTTTAATATATTGTCAATTATAGTAATAAAGATATGAAATATTGGAAATGCCAGTTGACTTCTTCATATTGCCAGTTAAACAATTTGCTACTTGCAAAAATTTGCAAGTAGAAAATATTGCTAAATTCGAACCCTGATATATAAACATTAACTATCACGTTTAACTTATATTTTTGAAATGAAATTATAATAAATAAATAAACGTGATAATAAGGCCTTAATTGGACTGAATGAACTTAAATGAAATTTGAACTTGTTTAAATTTATTTGCTGGGTTTTTTGTTGTTTTTTTTTTTTTGGGGGGGGGGGGGTTGCACCTTAAACATATGATGCCATATTTATTAATATCTTAAGCAAATATTGAAAAGATAATGGAGAAACTATCTTATAACATTATTATCAGAAATGTTCTTTTTATATAAATGTGGTTGATAACATGACAAAATAGGAGTGTTCCACTAAGAATTATGATTTAAGTATTTGAAAGAAAAATCTAATAAAAGCTCTTTTACGACATTTGACATGATTTATTATGTCTTTTCTTTTACCTGCGATTGAATTGGTGTTTTACAATTGTTATTTGTAATTGTTTCGCTTAAAACAACACACTTTCAGCAAGCCTTGTGATGTTTAAATAGATAGTATGCTTTAAGGTAAACAAATAAATCATCAAATTAAATGAATAACTATGTCAGTAAATGAAAAACGTTACTCGTATGCTATTCATCATAATCAACACTTACCCTGAAAAGACCGGGAGTAAGAAGACTTTGTCACTAGTATGGACGACATCCGTGAAGTCTCTGAAGGTTATATATTTTGGCCGACTTACTTTAATTTGTAAACTTAATACCCCCAAATTGATAATGGGCAATTCTCATAATGGAAACTCAGCAATTCTATTAAAGAAATTAAGCATGCGTGGGCGGAAACGGACATTAACACTTTTAATCGGATGTATAGTGCTCTTCAATTCTACATTGTCAACTTTATATATCATATACATCTAAATAATTGTAACAAAATGTTCAAATTTTATTTAAAACAATATAAGATAAAAACAAAATGTATGCAACATTTTTAACCATTTAACAAGACAATAATACAAAACTATGAAAATAGTCAGTCATCTGTTATACATCATTTTACGTTGAACTTTAAGACAGCTGACTAAAACCAGACAAGTATGTTAGTTCCGATGCAGTGAAAGCTTGTATGTACAACACCTGAATAAATATTGAACCTGGCTGTTTGGCATGGGTACCAGCTGAATATACAATACAAAACATAAATACTTTATTGTTAAGCATAACATGTAGGCATGTGTTGTCTTATTATATATACATGTATATCATATTTTGAAAGTAGAATCATAATTGCATGGTACAATACCATACTTTACGTTAAATACAAACATTCATCATACATGTTAAATTCTTTGAGGTCATTCGCAGTGGATTATTTTAATATGGAAACTATAATAATTAGTTGCTAATATCAAGAAATTAATCAAGAAAGAACCAAACATTTCTGTATTTAAGACTTATTGAAAACCAAATTCCTCTTAATATCATTACATGCCATGTCTTATTTCCGAATAAAAATATAACATTATATTATTTCACAACAAAATATATCTACTTATAACATTCATTTCATATTATAATAATAATCGTATACATGTACTTTGTACATGTGCAGTTCTGTATGAAGCGTATAAAACGTTTCGTGTTCAGGAATATTGAGATTCTGATAAACATTAAAACACGTAATTGATTGAAATGTGATGTTTTAATGGTTCAAATGTTTTTAAATAGAATGCTACTAGATAATAATGTCCCGTGTGTATATGGTATTACAAGCAGGTATTGTTGAACACTAAATAGAGAAAGTTTTTTAGTAAACTTTGAGTTAGTCGGAAAAAGGTAATTGGTGGAATATTACAATAAATATTTTTGTTATAAACATTACATGTTATCAAAAAGAAAGAGTCCTACACTTGATTTCATTGTTCCTTTTTTCTTACAGAGGAAGTGTTTACAATACTTGCCTGGCAGGGTTGATTTTTATTCTTATTTGTTAACGATTAAGATAAAGGTCAAGCAAATAAGAATTCCAGTAATAATGTTTTTTAAACTTTAAATATTTGGTATCTTATCACTTTCTTTAGCAGTTTGAGATACTCTCAAATAATTATGTACATGTACTTTATAATTAACATGTACCCCCTTTTGATCGCATTTTATTACCTGATCCTTTCTAACATTCAAAACAGACATTCATATCAAAAAACAATAAAAATACTAATTATATATAGAAAACTCAATAAAACGTCATAGCGGCTTTCATAACATGTGCGATGAGCTTAAATAAGTCCGACCAGGCTTGTTCGAGTTCTGAATTCCACTTTTCACCAATAACTGGTTGTATCGCCAATATAAACTGTGGTCCTATCAGCTGAAAAAAATATATAAAATGATATTTATAATAGTCAGCCCTCTTAATTGCATTACGATATACATTTTTGGTATATACTTATGAATGAAATATTGGGAAATATTGATATAAAAATTTGTATCTTCATTTTCCGTTTTTTCAATTTAAAAAAAATCCAGTGAAACATATTTTCTGTTTTTTCAATGGTGTCTTGCCGAATTACTGTATTCTTAATTCAGCCAAAACACAACGTTAAAAGGAGAAGTTTTAAGAATGGTAAGGCCAAAAAAGAGAACAAGTATATAATAAACAGAAAATTCAAGTTTTTTTCTATAAATACAGGATTTGTTTTCATCTTGTGATAGTAAAATTATCGTAAATCACTTGTGGCTACCGCAACTCGTGAAATATTTATTTTCATACCACTCGATGAAAATAAATCCTACAATTCTAGAAAAACTTGAAAATTCTCTCTGTATACTTTATTAGAAACATTTAATAGAATTTATTATCAACTGTACTAATGCTTATTTCTGTAAGATATACGAAATAAATTTAAAAGGAAACAATGTACATGTTTAAAAATGAGAAGATTTTGATATTATTTTTATGAACTTAATGTTTTATAATCACAATTATCTTTACACACAATAGTTATAATTCTGAAATTCACAATGCATTCACTAGATATAAGCCAAGATATAAAAATACTTTCTCCAGCGTGATGAAACTTTCTAGTTTTGATAACAAACAAATAGTGCATAGACTGTACCAAAATTAAAATATATATGTATGTATTGTACCATAAACTGAGTTAAATGAAAGATAATACTTACATCCATGTAGTCGACCTTTGCTGTATACATGACATGTCGAGCACCAAGGTCATGTAATGTTTTAAACATGATGTCTGGCTCATGAATACATGTAAGGCACTTGTCTACAGTTCCCATGACTCGCATAGCGTGTGACTTTAATTGGTTGCTATGTGTTAAATCTTCAGGACTCATTCCTTTAAATGTTGTCAATGCATCTTGTACATCTGGATGGCTTGCAAAAAGCCTGAACTTGAAAACAGTCATCTGTAAACTCAATATATATTAACGAATGTAGACGGTGTTCAGACCGATAGATGATGGTTATTTTGAACTGCCTTTTATGTGTGTGGTTTTGATCTTGACAGTTTTATCCCATCAACTGCGTTTATTCGGCATATTAATCTTTGAAACTGATTAAATGGTTTATTTCTTCCCTTAAGCATGTTGTATTATATAGTAAAGGATATTCAAGCGCATATAGAGATTGCTTTTTAGAGCCGTTTAGAGATATCATTGTATATCATTAGGAAGGAGAAAATCTCAAATCAGAGGCTTAATTACCTACTTCTAAACTGAAGCTCAGCATAATTGAACTTGTTGATAAATAGCCCCAAACTAAAAGGTTAAAGTACCTCGTAACTCAACAAACTGTATCTTTATTAATTCTTTAAAAAGGAAAAAAACGAAATAGAATGAATAACATATTTTATTTGATTACATCCTTAAATGATATTAGTACCAATACCATTTACGGTTATTGTATCATTAGTATGGAGACAGTTAATTGGTATATCCAAATAAATTACATTAAATTTACGTTATGTTCTCAATTTATATCAAGATGTTTGAATAAGCTTTACAATGTAATATAAATAAAGTGAAAATAGTAAAGATGATAGCTCTTAAATACATAATGCGTCGGGAAAAATGATATCTTATCAACAGAATTTAAAGTCATATCAAAGGTAAA